GAGCTGAGTCGCGTTCGTGAGCAGTTCCAGCAGGAAAGGGAGGAATTCCAAATGGAGAAGGACGATCTGGTCCGCCTTCATGACGTGGCCAAGGCTGAGGCTGTGCGTGAAGCGCAGGTTGCCGCGGTCCGTCAGTATAAATCTTTCCCTTCATTTCGGAAGATTTTGGCGGATGCGATGACAAAGACTGTGATCGCGATTCGCAAGATGGTGCGTCCGGAAAATCCAGGTGTCCGCTGGAACACTCGCGCCATGGTCTAGCATCTGCAGATAAAGAGGTCCCTGGAGCCCGACACTGAGTCGGAAGATGAAGAAGATGAGGAGGGGGAAGATGAATCGTCCGGAGCTAAGGATGGGGAAGCTGACGCAGCAGCGGACAAGGGGGTCGTGGACGCGGCGGTGGAAGAGGGGGGAGATGCCACTACTACTGCCAACATTGTTGTAGATTCACTGTAGGCCCGGAGGATCATCATTGCTTATGTTCCGTTTCTCTTTTTCCTTTTGTGTTGTTTGTTATCTCCCGATGGGAAAATCCAAATATATATAAACATGCTTATGTTATCTCGCGTTGCATTTTTCTTCCTCCCTCTTTACCTTTTACTTTACAACCCATGGTTGCGCGATTTCTTACTTGCGCATTATTGCGTTCTTAGCGTGATTCATGATCGCGCGGTTACGTGGCTACTTTGTAACTCTTTGTCGCGTAACATATTGCGCATCATATGCGTGTTATGCGTTCGTAGCGCGACTCATGAACGCGCGGTTACGTGGCTATTTTGTAGCTCCTATTTATTTTGCATTGCAACTTGTGGTTGCGTGACATATCGCGCATCATGTGCGTGTTCTGTTTTGTAGCACGGTTCATCATCGTGCGGTTACATGTACGCGGGATTTGTTCGCCGCTCTGTATTGTATGGAGGAAGGGAATTCTCATTAGTTCAATCGGACGTCAGGTTACATGTGGACGGTGATTACAATCTCTTGTGGTATTTCCTTAGATTCTGGGCATTCCATGTACGCGTGATTGGTTTGCCGCCAAGTGTGCTAATCTTGAATGTATTAGCGCCGGCAACCTCACGGACGAGGTATGGTCCTTCCTATGTTGACGCTATCTTTCCGTGTTTCACATCGGGGCGAAAGTTGCGCCTCAGCACTTGATCTCCGATTTGGATGTTGTGTGGGACCAGTTTAGCGTTGTAGTATTTCGCGACTTTGGCCTTTGTTGCGGCCAGCTTGATAGCGACCGTCTCTCGCAGTTCAGCAGTTAGCTCGAGGTCCGTGAGTCGAGCTTCGTTGTTGTCTTTTTCGTTGAACATGGGGATGCGGTACGTGGGTATCGCTGTCTCGATTGGGATGACCGCGTCATTTCCGTAGGTTAGCGCGAACGGGGTTTCGCCTATTGTTGCCTTGAACGTTGTTCGATGCGCCCATAGGACTGTGTGTAACTCTTATGTCCAGTTGCCTTTTGCGTCCCCGAGGCGAGTATGTAGGCCATGTAAGATTGATTTGTTTGCCGCCTCTGCTTGGCCATTAGCTTGGGGATACGCTACTGACACGAATCGAGCTATGTCGCCTACTTCTTCACAAAAGTCTATGACTTCCGCGCAGTCGAACTGCTTGCCATGGTCGAATACGAACGAGTTTGGGACCCCAAACCTGGTGAGTACGTTGTTTTTCAAAAAGCGTACCACCTGTTGAGCAGTGATTGATGCCAGCGCTTCCGCCTCTATCCATTTGGCGAAGTAGTCCACGGTGACAATGATGAATTTGCGTTTGCTTTTCGCGGTGGGGAATGGTCCTAGTAGGTCTACGCCCCACTGCACGAAGGGCCAGAGACTGATATTTCCTTGGAGCTTGGTGGATGGCGTGTGATGCTGCCGCGCGGTCAGCTGGCATTTGGGGCATTGTTTAACAAATTTCTTCGCGTCTTTTTTCATTCGTGGCTAGTAATATCCTTGTAGGAGGATCTTACGTTCCATGTTGCGCGCGCCACAATGCATCACGCAAATGCCTTCATGTATGTACTGCACGATTGCTTGCGTCTCGTCCGGTCCTACACACTTTAGATATACGCCCGAGTGCGAGCGCCTGTGGAGTGTGTCATCAATGATGGTGCAACGGGCGACTTTCTGTCTGAGGGCCCATGCTTCCTTTGTGTCCTCCGGTACCGCGCCGCTTGTCAAGAACGCTGTAATTGGTGTTCGCCAGTCGTTTTCTTCCCTTTGTGTTGTATTCACGCTGTGTAGCGTGTCTTGATCTTCCTTTTGCACGGAGACCATCTTTGTCGTGTCGAAGTCCGCGTGCATGTTTTCTTCTCTCAGTATTTGGACATATGTAACGGCTTCAAATTGGGGTTCCCGCGCTTTCACACGCTCGATATATTGGGCCAGCGTGTCCTCTTTGGCGTCGAAGATTCCGTTCAACTGGTTGACAGCGATGGCGGAGTCGGAAAGAATCTGAATCGTTCTTGCGCCTAGGTCTCTGGCGACTGTTAGTCCTGCAAGTATTGCTTCGTATTCCGAGGCGTTGTTGGTTTTGAGGGTTCGGAAGCGGATGGCGATTTCATGAATAGCTCCTGTGGGCATTTTCACGACAACGCCTGCCCCCGCTCGGTGTTTGCATGCCGCCCCGTCGACGTAGATTTCCCACACCTCATCGTTTTTCTCGCACAACGTTAGTCTTTCCGCGACGAAGTCGGCGAGGACTTGCGCTTTGATTGCTGGCAGTGGTGCATATTGTATATCGTATTCAGAAAATTCGACCGCCCATTTCGTCATCCGCCCTGACACTTCTATCAAGCTTAGAATTCTCTTCAGCGGCAGGTTCGTGAGCACTGTGATCGTGTGTGATTGGAAGTAGGTGCGTAACTTTTGCGACGCGTTCACTAGGACCAAGGCGGCCTTCTCGATCGGGGAGTACCTTGTTTCTGCGTTGGCTAATGTCCGCGATGTGTAGTAGATCGGCCTTTCTGTTTGCGCATCTCTGCGCGAGATTAACACCGCGCTGATGGCTCGAGCGGACACAGACAAGTACAGAAACAACTTTTCATTAAGCCTGGGGGCGGTTAATACATGGGGTGATACCATGTACAGTTTGAGCTCGTTGAATGCGGCTTCGCACTCTGGGGTCCACTTGAATCGAGCGCCATTCTTTAGGGTTTGGAAGAATGGAGCGCACTTATCGGCGGATCTTGGGATGAATCGTCCTAGCGCAGCTAGCGTGCCGTTCAACGATTGTACTTCAGTGGCGCTTCTTGGAGCGCGCAGTTGTTGCACTGCTGTGATTTGCTTGGGATCGACTTCAGAGGGTTGAGCCTGAGGCTGTTTCTGCGTAGTGCCTCGAATGTTTCACGGAGGTCTTCCAGATGGTAGCCTCCACTCCTTGTCTTGACAATGAGGTCATCCACGTAGGCCTCGATGTTGCGCCCGATCTGGGGTGCGAAGACTGTATCAATCATCCGCTGGTATGTGGCGCTCGCGTTCTTCATGCCGAATGGCATTTCTGTGAAACAGAAGTTGCCGAATAGAGTCATGAACGCGGTCTTCTCCTCATCTTCGCGACTCATTGAGATCTGGTGGTATCCTGAAAACATATCTAGGAACGATAATGTTTTGTGGTTGGATGTCGCGTTGATGAGCTGGTCAATGCGCGGAAGTGGATATGGGTCCCCCGGGAATACTTTGTTAATGGTGGTGTAGTCTACGCACATCCGCCACGCACCTGAGGCCTTCTTAACTAGGACGACGTTTGACAACCATTTTGGGTATTTTACAGCCCGAATGAGACCGCCGGCTAGTAGCCGTGCTACCTCTTCTTCTATGGACTTCAACTTCTCACCAGTGAACGTGCGCCGCGTCTGCTGTCGGGGTGTCGCGGTGTATGGTACCACGAGGAAATGCTGCGCCACATGCCTTGGCACTGCTGCATGTCTTCCGTGCACCAGGCAAAGAGCTCTTGGTACTCTTGTAGTAGTTTCACCAACGGCTCGACCATGTCTCCTGGGACGTGGGTAGAAATGCGCACCTATTTGCTTGGTTCCTCCGGGTTTAGCGCGACCTCGAAGTCGGAGTCCATTGACTCTGGGCATGGGTCGTTAGCGCGGGTTTCGTTGATGTTTGTCTGTCTTTGTGATGCGATGGGACGCGGGATTTGTTGTTTGCCCTCGGACCATGGTGAGCCGCGCGACTCTCCGGCTCCCGCCTTGGTGGGGAATTTAAGTTTTTGGTGGCATGTGGATGCCAGTGCCATAAATTTGGCTAGGAATGGGCGGCCCAGTATGCCGTTGTGTGGTGAGTCGCAGTCCACAATGGTAAACTGGACTTGCTTTGACGTGCGCGGCTCGTCGTCACCGAGTACGACTAGCAGTGTGACTTCTCTGATTACCGCGACTCTTGTGCCGGAGAATCCCACTAAGTTACCTTGAGCCCGTTGGATGAGTAGGCGGTGTACCTTGCACGCGGCTACGTCCATTTGGTCCAAAGTGCGCCTGAACAGAACGTCTACCGCGCTTCCCCCGTCTATGAGTAGGCGGTGTACCTTGCACGCGGCTACGAGCGCCGTTTTAGTTAGTGGTTCTTCTGACGCGATCCCTCGCGGAAGCTCTGAGTTGCTGAAGCTCAGATCGCACTTTATCGCAGTGCTTGTTGTTGCGCATTCAACCGCGCGGTCTCGCTTTGTCTTTTTCTTTGGTCTGTCCCCCTCAAACGTGACGACCCCTATTTCTTTGCGGACAATGTAGGATCCCGTTGTCTCGTTGTAGTCTGCCTGGGGAGGCGGCAGCGGGATGTTTTGCTGGTCTTTTCGCTCCTCTGCTCCGCTTATGTATTCCGCCAGGTATCCTCTTTTAATGAGCCCTTCTATTTCCACGTGCAGGTTGAAGCAACCTTCAGTCATGTGTCCTGGCTCTCGGTGAAAGTCGCAGTGTTTTCTGTGATCGCGCGTGTGCATTAGGGTTCTTATTGGCGCTGGCCAGTTGACGCGGTACCCCTTCTCTCTGATGAGGTGGAATATGTTCTTTAATGAGTCATTTAGGGGGGGGGGGGGTGAAGCTCGTCTGCGGGCGCCTATCCGGTGAGCGCCTGCGTTGTGGGGGATCTTGCGGAGCTTGCTGCTTGCCATACCCGCTGTGGTACTGCGGGAGCGGGAGTTGTGGCTCTCATCGCCTTTGTTCCTCTCGCGGAGGTTTTGCTGGCTCGTAGCGGCGGACCGACCCTGCTCCCAGGGTTTCTTCCAGGGTAATGGCTTTCTCGATTTTGGTTTCCAGTTCCGAGGAAGAGATGACGGGTCCTTTTGCCAACGCGCGTTTGAGTTCCGCTTTGGTGGTCGCTTCCATGAGGTGGTGGGCGGCAGTCTCTGGAGTCAGGTCACGCACTGCTATAGTGGTCCTCGACCATCTGGCGTAAAATGCCCGCAGACTCTCCCCGTCCTTCTGTTTTAGGTCGATCAATGCCTTAAGGTGGAGCGGCCTTCTCTTTTGGGAGGCGAACTTCGTTGTGAAGAGTAGTATGAACTCTTCAAAGGTGCAGATGATTCCGTTGGGGAGGCAGTTATACCAGTCCAGGCATATCTCCACGAATGTGGACGGAAAGGTTCTGCATAATGCCGCGTTGGAGTTTGTTTGCAGCTGCATGCGCAGGCAGAAGCTGCTGGCATGGTCCTCCGGGTCTGTCGTCCCATTGTACATGGGCAGGGTGGGTGGGATCCCGCTTAGGTGTTCCGCCATAATTTGGGTGCACAGTGGTTGGTGCAAGGCTTTCTTGGGCGGTGTGCAATATTGTGGGGACAGGTGCTGTTCCAGGAAAGTCAGATCCGCTCTCTCTGGCGGGTCCTGCTCGCGAAATTGTGGGTTGGCTTGCCTAACTGTTTGGCAATCTGCCGGCGGTGGCAGCGTCATCGCTTGACGCTCGGACGTAGTCGCGGCGGTTTCCTTGCTCATCATCAAGGCGATCACTTGGTTCATTTTCGCTTGCATGTCCGCGATGACCTCGTTTTGTTTGGTCATTTGCTGGCGGACCTCCTTGGCTGTCAGCTCTGGCTCTTCCTCTTCGATTAGGACCGCGTTGAGGTTGCTCGTTTCTGCGAATGACCTTGAGTTTGTCATTGCCTTGATCGGGGTTGCTTCGTTAGGAATGTTATTGTCTTGTTCTGCCATTGACGACTTCTCTGTCTTGCTGCTTCTCTACTCTTGCCCCACGGTGGGCGCCAATTGTGTGAGTCCAACTGAGAGTAGGAGGTAGACTCGGAAAAAAGGTTGAGAAGAGTAAGCAACGAGGGGTTTAGGAACACAGATATTCTTAGAGAGAGGGAGTTCTTCCAAGTCTACTGAGAGAGTAAAAATGCCCTCCTCTCACCCACCGGAGTAAATGTCATATTTATAGGCTACATGGTGGTGGGTGAGTTACATGGTGACAAGACCGCTGACATGTCAGAACTTTAGACCATACTCCTACCTAGGACTAGGAGATTTACCCATGATTGTACCTATGTCTATGATGTGACCACTCTTCGGGGGATATGGTGTCGTTTTCGAGGTAGACTTGGCCTAGTCAACTCTTGGTTGAAACACCGTCGTTCGGTCGTCTGGAGTTCACGTCCGCGGGTGAGGCTTCCTCACGCTCGAGCTTCTCGCGTGGGCGCGACTGTGGGTGCGGCTTTGGTTGCGTTGGCGCTAACGCGTCTGATCCATCTGAGGCGGCGTCGCGCTGGCTCCTTGGCGCGACTGGACCCGAGCCATACATCCAACAAAACCTTAATTAATAGAACAACGAGGGAAGAAGAGAGTTCTATGAGTGAGCAGTTGCAATATAATAATACATTAATTAATTGTATTAGCATTAAATACCAGCATACAGCAACCAATTCCCAACAATAGAAAAGCTATTTAATTCAAATCATTGCCTAATGTCACGTTGTTTTATATATATTATGTATATAAAACAGAAGAACCGGCCGGCCACTCACTCACTTATGGTGTTTTTGTAATCGTAATATTGCGATGGAACCCCGTGCGGCCAGGATGGTTGGTATCTATAGTTGTTGGGTTTAATTGGGCGTGTATACTATAATAATAATAATTAAACCAAAATCCAAATTGTGGTTGGGGTTTTAATCACGGATTATTAATTAATTAATTAAGCTTTCAATAGAGGTCCAAATGCAAAGCAACCAACGCCCAAACAAACGAATAGATTAACACTAGAAGCGACAAAAACCGATTTGGAACTCACTCGCTGTGTAGTTGTACGCAACTAACTAATGAACCCCTCAGTCAACGCTCCTCCACCGGTTTCCCCAACGACCCATATCATTCTTCTACACCCCCAAACCCCTTCTTGAGTTTTCTCTTTGATCACAAAACAAGTAATCAAATCATTCAAGTAACCCATACGACCCATCGAACAAAACCGTACCTATATAGGGTAGGGTCGGACCGCACCCCGATCATTTTAATCGCAATTTAAAAGTGAAATAAATACAAGAAGGGGTCGTTTGCTTGTTGGATTTGAAAAATGAGGGTTTTGGCCAATAAAAACCTTGGGATTTATGTTGGATTATGGTTTTGAAGAGTCTAATGTTTGCATGATAGATTTGATGATGGATTTGTGATGGATTTGTTAAATAAATAACTAACCATCAAGGATTTGCAAATCCCAAATCAATATGTGGGATTTAGAAGTTTGTGGGGTCCACGGATTTGGTTCCAAAATAAAGACCAAATCCGTGGTCCCCACGGATTTAGCACCCTTCAACAAACAATGGACTTATGTTAAATCCATCAAACTTAAAATTTGGGTACCAAATCCATGACCCAAATCCAACAAGCAAACGACCCCTAAGAATCATATCGTCATTACATTCCGTTTAAGTTGATCCGATCCCAATGTCAATTCAAACAATTCTTTTATTTATTTATAGAATTCACGAGATTAATGACCAGATCGCATTACATTTGATCATCAATGGTTCGAGCAGGGATAACACGATAATCGGAAATGAAAATAATATTGCGAACCCCAGCCAGAGAGCCCGGAGGACAGGGCAATTCGCAAGACATTTTTGTCCCTTTTCCCTTTATAAAAAGCCTAAACACGTGCCTAACACCGTGATCCCGGAAACAAATCCGCTTCCCCCCAGCTCGCCCGGCCGATCACCTCCGTCTCCTTTCGCCTTCCCTACCGATCGGCTCAATTCTCCTTCTGCGGTGTGCGAATTCAGCGATGACGTCGGGGTCGAGAATGCCGACGTGGAAGGAGAGGGAGAACAACAAGAGGAGAGAGCGGCGGAGGAGGGCGATCGCGGCCAAGATCTACTCGGGCCTGAGGATGTACGGCAACTACAAGCTCCCCAAGCACTGCGACAACAACGAGGTCCTCAAAGCACTCTGCGACGAAGCTGGGTGGTCCGTCGAAGATGACGGAACCACTTACAGAAAGGTACGCTTCAAAGCTTAATTTAGTAATAATCACACTTATCATCTTCCCTTTCTAGTCTCCCTCCTCGGCTCCTCCTAGCTAGCTAGCTCCGTAATTTAATCAATTAATTTGGCTCAATCGGCTGTCGGAGGTGGTTAGATCTGCAAAATTGTTGATGTTTGCGGCCTGGCCGTCTCAATTTCCGATCATGAGCCGGAAAGGAGTAAACGAATTCCTCCGCTAAAATGCGCTGGGTCATTAGGCGCACGATAGCGGTCCGGCTGAAAAAATATGGTCACGGGAAAGAGAGAGAGAGAGGGGGGAGAAGCGTCACGCTTTCCGTCACCGTCGCCGTACCTCTTCCTTTTCCGTCTTCTCGGCTCTGTTTTAAGTGCACGGAAGACGAGATCTCAAGAATCGGCCCACGGCGCGGTTAAGAAACAGTAAAACCAGGTGCGGACAGCGAGTACAGTCCGTCAGTTCAGTTGGACCAAAACCTTCCGTCCTCTACTCCTCTTTGCGACTCGTTTCACGTGACGACGGATTACCTTTTTTTTCTTTTCTAATTTTTTCCATCCCTTTGGATGTTCCCCACCACTTTCTCCGGCAATAATGCAGGGCGGGCAAAAAACAACAACAATTATTACTAACCTCGTTGGGTCGGGCCAGGTGTGAATTGGGCTTATAATTCCGCGGCCTGGTGGGTTGACTTTTGGGCCTGTGGTCGTTTTGTGCTTTTCGGTGATGGCAAAATTGTGGTTTGTGCCTTTGTGGAGAGTATTTATTGAGGATTGACTAGGTTGCAAAGCCAAGGTTTGGATCCTTTGGATTCCGCTTTCTAGCCTTGTTTGCTAAATCGAACTGTACCTTCGGTCCCATCAGAATATCGATTATTGGAGTTGAATCATTCAACTACGGATTAATCATAAACTTGAATATGGTGTTCCAAGTTCCTAATGGCACAAGTTTGATTCATCAGCTTCCCTAATAATTCCGTTCTTTTGGTTTCCGAAACGTTTCAGGGTTGCAGACCAGTTGGAAGAACGGACATAATGGGAGGAGGAGGTTCAACATCAGCAAGCCCCTGTTCATCATACCAGCCAAGTCCCGCCTCATCTTCTTTCCCCAGCCCCATCTCCTCCCACTACGCTGCCGCCGCGGCCGCCGACGCCAATTCCCTAATCCCCTGGCTCAAAAACCTCTCATCCAGCTCATCTTCAACCTCCTCCAAAACCAACCACCTCTACATCCACACGGGCTCCATAAGCGCACCGGTCACTCCGCCACTGAGCTCACCAACAGTCCGAACTCCGCGCAAGCGGAGCATCAACAGCGACTGGGACGATTACGCCGCCGGTGGCGAGCAGAACTACCCTTACATGCCTTCCTCGATGCCTTCATCCACCCCGCAGAGCCCCCGTCGCCAGCCCGATTCGGCCTGGCTGCAGAGCGGGCCGTCGTCCCCGACGTTCAGCCTCGTGTCCCCGAACCCGTTCGGGTTCAGGGACGAGCCGCTGTCCGGTTCAGGGTCGAGAATGTGGACGCCTGGGCAGAGCGGGACGTGTTCCCCTGCCGTGTTCGATCACACCGCGGATGTCCCCATGGCGGACAGCTGCATGGCGGCGGAGTTTGCTTTTGGGTGTGGGAATGCTGGTGCTGGTAGGTTGGTTAAGGCTTGGGAAGGGGAGCGGATACACGAGGAGTTGATCTCCGATGATCTTGAGCTCACGCTCGGCAGCTCCAAGAATAGGTGAGATGATATGGAAGATATGAAGAAGCTTTCCCACCCTTTCGTTTTGAAACGCTGTGGTGTGAAATATTCATAGCTTCAGCCTGCAGATTAAATGTGTAGTAATTGAGTTGAAGTAGTTAATGAATGATACTATCGTTTGTGTGTTTTTTTTTTTTTTTTTGAAAAAAGGGGAGGCTAACGCCAAGGAGTTTACAAAAGTAGAACAGGGTTGCAGCAAAACAGCAACCACAAAGGCACAAAGCTCGCTCTTGGCAGCCAAGAGGGAGATCAACAGACCTTCCCTGAGACCACAAAAACACACACTAAACTTGGAAGCAAAACTAGAAACTAGCCAGGGAGCTGTCAACGATCTATATTCACAACCACTCTTCGTGGGAAGCTAATTCCAATCACGTCTTCCCTAAGCAACTTTTTAACCTCTCTTGGAAGCTCCATTTGTTCATGCGTACCGAAGGGATAGACGAGACTGTGCTTCGAGAGCCAGTCCGCGACTCTATTCCCTTCACGATACGTATGAACCAGCCGAACTATCTAGTCTTGAGCAATAAGTCTGCGAATAGAATTCAACAAGGTGGCATGAGCGTGCACCGGATCGTCACGACTATTAATAAGGTCCACCGCAAGCTTGGAATCGGTTTCCAAAATCAGTAGCCTGACCCCTTTCTTCCAACCATAATCCAATCCCTGTTTAATTCCCCACAGCTCAGCAAGAATGGCATTACCGTTCCCAATTTTGCAACAAAAACCCCCAATCCAATCTCCCGAGCTGTCACGAAGCACTCCCCTAGCAGTCGCCATGCCTGAAGAACCCTGTGCTGCACCATCCGTATTTAGTTTTATCCATCCCGGTGGAGGAGGTGTCCAACCGACCAGCTGTTCCTCATGGGTTGGTCGACAAATGTTACTAATCCTCTCATCCGCGGATTTCCAGGTTTTAATCCAATCCTTGGCCTTAGAAATCGTGTAGTTGACCAGAGTAGAAGATGAGATCCTAGTACCTTTAAAAATGTAGTCATTCCGATTTTTCCAATTGTACCAAGCAATGATGGCGAAATAGCTGGCACAATTCTCCACTTCTCCTTCCTCCTTATCATTGAAGATGTTCATTCGCAGCCAAGCTTCATGATCCATCGCGAAGAAAGCCTGCTGCTTCTGTTGGGGAATAGTCTTCTCCCAAGTTTTCTTGGCCACACTGCAGTCCCGCAAGCAGTGTAAATTAGTCTCAATCTCTTCTTGGCACAAAGGACATGTATCATTCTCCGTGAGATGTCTGAACTTTCTTATAGCATTGGTAGCCAGCCTGTCTTTCATTGTTGTCCATATAAAGAGTCGGATTCTTTCTGGGACTTGTAATCTCCAAATGCAGCGCCAAGGAGTTGAACGTGAGTGTGCCTGAGGGTGTGAGATCAATTCATAAGCTGACGCTGTGCTGAAGCGGCCATTAGGAGAAGCCTTCCAGCAAAGCTGATCGCTTTCCGCAGAAAGAGGGTCGATCGTCACTGCCCTAATCTGATTAAGGATGTTCTGCGGGAGGTACTTGTCCAACTCCTCAGTCTTCCATCCGCTGTCTGCTGTCCAGAAATCAGCCACCTTCTTATCTCGCATCTCTGCCGGGATCTCCTCCATCACTATATGCGCCAGGGGGATCTGCAAAAGCCAGAGATCAAACCAAAAATTAGTTGCTTTGCCACTCTTAATGTTGAAAGCTGAGCCTTTGCGCAAGATGTTAGAAGTTTTCGAAAAACTTCGCCAAGCCAGTGAACTTCCCTTTTTCTTCTTAAAGAGCTCAATTCCCGTTCTACTACTTCCATACTTGCTGCTTAGAACTCGAGTCCAAAGGGCTTGGTTGTTTGTAGCGATTTGCCATGCTCCCTTGGATAACATGGCTTGATTCGCCAGCCTGGTCGGTCGGACTGCGAGCCCTCCCTGATTCCGTGCAAGGGTTATCTGATTCCAGGCAACAGCATGATATTTCAACTTTTCATCATCTTCGCCCCATATGAACTTTCTATTACACCTGTCTAACTGATTACAAACACCTGCAGGCAGAAGCTAAGAAAACATAGGAAACACAGCCATGGAAGATGCCACTGAATTCACTAGAGTGATTCTAGCTGCCATAGAAAGATGTTTTGTTTTCCAAGTTGCAAGTCTATTCTGGATCTTTAAGAGCAAATCTTTGTATCTCTCTTTAGTCACCCTGCCATTTATTGCTTTAAGACCGAGATATCGCCCCAAGTCATTGGTTAGGGGGATCCCCGCTCTAGTACTCAGCACTTGAGCTCTGTCTCGATGCACGTTAGGTGATATGTATAATGCCGACTTATTGAGATTGACTCTCTGTCCAGAGCTGGTGCAGAAATCTTCGAGGCACTTCTTAATAAGATCAATCTGGCTCCTCTCAGCCTCTGCAAACAAAACCAAATCGTCAGCAAAGAAAAGTGAGATAGTTTCGGGCCATCCTTCGAAAGAGAGAAAGGCTTCCACAGGTTGGCATTCACCGCTTCCTTGATTTTATGGGAAAGTCTTTCCATGCAGAGTACAAACAAGTAAGGGGAGAGGGGGCCGCGCTGCCGAATTCCTCTGGTAGGTTGTATCGCCTCGGATAATTGACCATTCCAATTTATTCTCATTGTTTGTGTGTAGTGTGTATAATTATCTGGACTCAAATACAAGCATTTGTGTTAAACTTAATTGAGTTGAGTTGACTCAAATTGGACCAATTCGAACTACCAAGCCATCAATGAATATTCACACGAATGATAAAATCCTTTCTATTCATCATCTATACTCTACAAATTCAATTTCCTGGTGTTTCGAGATCATTACTCCGCGCATTCTGGAAGATTTAATAATGATGGTGACTGAATCGGGAAAAAACCTGCTTTACAATTGAATGATAATCAGCCGAGGAGAAAACATACAATGATACAACAAAACAATTTGAAGGAATTGACTGATTCCTCTGTTGAAGCTCTCGTTTGGCTCAGCTTCTGACATAGATCGTCCAATGCGCGATAGGGTATCCGTGGGTTCGGATTTTGTTGTCATCCCTAACCGGGTAGCCGCTTGATTCAAAATTTCAAGTCCAACCCAGGTAAAAAAAATTTGGTGAATTTTTAATCTAACAAGAAATGCCGCCAATCGACTCTTGGCCAGAACCCTGGAGCCGATCAATCCCCCAGCAGTTCCGACTACCTCCCCGACTATCAGTGATTCACCAATTATCACCAGCAATCAATATCAAGTAACATTTCTCGCATGAAAACAACAACAACAACAACAACAAAACATTAATCAATATCAAGTAACAATTCTTAATAGTAATCAATTGGGATCATTGGAGGCCGATCAACCGAATTCTGGGAGGTATTATCTCTTCAAGCCACTGCTTAGCATGTCGCCTCACACAGTCTTCTCCCCTGCGAACCTCCTCTCCAATCGCGCCATAACAACTTCTCCATACGAGCCGCTGGCTTGATAATCCGTGTCGATGATCACAGCCTCGAGTGTTGCGGCGTTTCTGACGACAAAAGAGATCAACTCATCCTCATTCGCGCCGCCGCAGCGATACCCTGCCATCTCCAGCACCTTCAGGCCTGCAAGCCCGCCAACAACACATCTCTCAGCAGCACCCTCATTCTTCTGGAACCTGTGAAATCTCCATCTGTTAGAAACCGAACCGAAAAAGTAGGGTTATCGATCTGGCTGAGTCGCGGACTAGGTCGCTCTCTTTAAGACGTTCGCGGCACTACCTTCATTGCGCACGGCAGACTATCAGCCGGTCGCCTCCAGGATAAAACACCCGCTCTAATTTTGTTGCTCATCGGTTTTGTGCGAAAACCGGAGCTCTATGAACTCACTCTCTTTCTCGTGTTTCTGCTCTCTCTTCTTTTAGGGTTAGGCAACTCATCTATTTATATAGGATGAGACCTTCAGCCTTCTCCTCTTGGTGGAGGATTTGAGAATCTTCTTAAGGAAGGAAATCAAGAGTAATAACTCCTAATTAGACCTTTCTTTAATGTAGACAATTAACCCAATTAATAAAAGTTTCCTTTAATACCAGAAATCAATCCGATTGATTGAAACTTTCCGTTAGTATGGGCAATTGATCTGATCATGAAAGATTCCTTCAATATGGAAAATCAACCCAATTGATTTCCGTTAATTCGGTCAATTAATTCTGATTGAAGAAACGTTTCCTTCAATACAGAGAATTAATCTGAATTAACTTCACTTACCTTTTTCAAGGACTTTCCTTTAGTTTTTTACAAACTATTCACATTTCTCAACACCATCTTTCAACTGATCTTCTGTCGGGAGACTGCATTACAGTATATGTATTACAAGTGTTCGAATCAATCAAATTCAATCCCCAAAGAATGGATAGAAAGAAAGAAAGGTAAGAAACATAGAGATTAGAGGGCTTTAACCCGTATTTTAATCTTCTGCAAGGAAGGTGTTGCTGTTGCCATCAACGACACCAGTCTAACAAGATCATCATCTGGCTCCACCTCGTGAGATATTTCCCATTCTACGAGGCTTGGTAGTTTGTAGATTGAGCCCAATTCATGTTCTTCCTGTACAGAAATCAAAATTAGCAAAAAAAATCATCTCAGCCAAAATTGCAAAACCAGACATGAACCACCACTCACCAGAAATGAATCATAGAGAAGCATCCTCAGGCGCTTTAGCTGGGAAAGGCAGGAGGAGAACAGAGAGAGCTCATCCGCCATCTCCAAATGTAACTTCAAATATAGGTCGACCAAGCACGGGAGGGTTCCTCATGAGGAGATCCCCATCCAAGTTACCCCTCGCGAAAGAAACGAGTGATGCAACATCGTATAACTCGAGAGACAGGTTAGGTGATTACTATAAAAGTAGTAATCACAGTGGTTACTAAGGGTAAATTGGGTATGGAAAAATAAATTATATTAATTAATTTTTTAATAAATTACATTTTAGGTAGTTACAAAAATCTATTAATTAAAATTCTCTCTTTCTCTCACTTCCGTGATCTCCTGCCAGATTTCCTTTCCATATTTTTCTCAATCTTTCTGGAAAAAAAAAAAAAAAAAAACGAAATCAGTACTAATCCATTAGACAAACATTACCATTTTGAAAAACATCAATACCATTGCAGAAATAAATCTATACCATTACACGAAAACTACCAATATAAACAATCTATACCATAAACAATCAATACCATTGTAGAAATAAATCTATACCATTACACGAAAACTACCAATATAAACAATCTATACCATAAACAATCAATATAATTGTAGAAATAAATCTATACCATTGCAGAAATAAATCTATACCATTACACGAAAACTACCAATATAAACAATCTATACCATAAACAATCAATATCATTGCAGAAATAAATCTATACCATTACACGAAAACTACCAATATAAACAATCTATACCACTCAATTTACGAAAACTACCAATACAAGGACGACCTACCACTCAAATGTAGAAATTACGACATGGAAAACTACCAATCAATAAAAGGGAAGTGAAAACTCACGAGGATCCTTGATTGTAGATGTTGATGGAGACGGAGACGTGATCGGCGCCTGGAAATGAAATGGTACAAGAACAAAAACAATAGAAGGCAACATCAGTGCGTGGAAATGAAATAGTACAAGAACAAAAACAAAATAAGCATCCGCAGGGTGTCTAACAGCTCCATGTGGCAGCATCATGGGATGGGTAATGTGCGGTGAACATCACGAGCTCAGGAAGGCCGGTGAAGTCCGGCGCTGATGTTGCCTTCTTGCGGGACACGATGAACGGGATGTCGGAGGCGGATAGTGCCGACGACACGAAGAAGAGCAGGGCGAGTAGCACCTTCGGCATCGGGATCGCCATGGATAGCAGCGGGGTGATGATTTCTGAGCAGATGAGGGGAAAGGGTAGAGAGAGAGAGAGAGAGAGAGAGAGAGAGAGAGAGAGAGAGAGAGGGGGTACCAAGGGGGCTGCTGCCGGCGGTGGTCGGGGCTGTTGCCGGCGGTGCGACGGGAGTGGTACATGGAGGCGGCTGCGACGGGTTTGGCTGGAGGGAGGATATAACTAGGGTTTAGGTAGATTATATAGAATAATCAGGTGTGGTCACTTTTTAATTTCCAAAATTACCCTAAAAGAATCTTGACCGTAAGATTAAAAAAGAAGAGAAAACAATTAATCAAATGGTATATAAAGAGGTTGCCACCGTGATTACTAAAAAAACAAGTAATCACCCTAACCCATTCCTATAACTCGATTTTCTCTCGAGTCCTTTGCAATTGTATACCTCCGGATGCTTCAACTTCAACAAAGGACCGACGAGTTTTACATGACCTAAGTCGTCCACACACTGCAGAGTCAGTGTCTCGAGGACCAGACAGTTCGACACGAGACCCTCCAGGGCGTCCCCACGCATCCTGACGGACCTCAAACACAGCGATTCGTGTGACCGGAAACGATCCGAGGGCCACCGGCTGGCTCGAAATACGTACATTCTCTCCTTATCGAGACTGTGCGGAGGTAGTCTCCATGGTAACCTAGCACGGTTCTTCTCCATATAGGTGTTAGTTTCGTCTTTGATACGGTAGATTGAAGTCCAGGTCCAGGTTCCTGACTCGCTTCGATGTTGCAAACTCGACGAACCAATCGATGGATCGCCTGTACTTCTCGGTGAGGCCGAGGTGAAGTCTGAACTCCTCCAAGCTATGGCCTTTGTGTGATCGAACCACCTTGCTAACGCGTCGAACGTATTTGTCCCTTAAGTGGCTAGGTAGACGAGGCTGCAGCTCGATGGGGAAGAATGCGGAGTCGAAGTCAGAGACGGGTAATGGATGCGCCCAAGTTCCTCCATTGAGTAGAAAGTAGACTGGTAATGGCTGCTTCGTTGATTGACAGGTGAAACAATATAAGCTGCAGGATGCCCTCTGGCAGCTGACTGATTCGGTCATCTGGATTGTAGCAATGCGATTTGCAGTAGTCTCCCTGCAGCCAGAACAATAAACCTCAATCATGAACCAAACTGAATGCCCCATTAACTAGTAGAGGTAAGAAAGAATCAAAACTAGAAAACGCAGAGACAGAGAATAATCAATGAAGCTGATTATAAGACCTTTCTCTTCCTCTTGAACAAAACGTTGAAACCGCGCCTGGAAGAAGCAGAGCTCCGGGCCTCTCTCTTCCTCTGTACTGAATTCGGCATCCCAAAAGTGAGAAGAAATAAAGCCAAGAACTTTGGAGAATAGAGGGAGGGAAAGAACAGAGAGCAAAACAGAGAAAAGGTCAGAACGAAGTTAACTCATCAAAAGGCTCAGACTTTCAGCAGATTGTAATCTCAATTCTCCAACTGTTTGCGCCCTACTCTGAAACCGATTCAACAGAACAAAGCTTAAGTTAAGAAGTAAGACTCAAAAGCTCCACCATTTTTCCCGTCCGAATTGGATTCGGATTTCAAGAAGAAGCCTTCCGGAAGGTTTTTTTTAGGCTTGCAATTTATTCCTTTTCAGTTCCAGGCTTCAACTTATTCAAATCCTTGCAAAAAGATACAAAACAATGACCCTTTGCTGTCCAAATTGAATTGCGATATTTTTCTTTTCGATGAATGGATCGGGTTATTGAGCAAAAACCTTCGGGAAGGTTTCCTACGCTTATTCAATAAACCCTTCGTTTACGATGTGAAATTCTCCAAAAGTGCAACCTCTGTTTTGTGGTTGGTTGCCGTTCTTGTATTGTTAGTGTTTTTGATTGCTGGAGTTCTGTGGCTTCGCTGCCCGCTCCTGTGGCGATGGACGATGATCTGGTTTTTGTGAATCTACACATATTTTAAAACCCCATTGAAATGACAACATTGTTCAGCTGGGTACTCTGTTTTGTCTCCTCTGTTCAGCCATGGCGGAGCAGAGGAGGTGACTGGACTGAAATTTCAATTTTTTTAGTTGGTAAGCACAATTTACGAAAGTGATAAATATTACCATAATCAATTGAGGATCTGGGATTGCCAGTTCATTGTGTAGATTTTCGGGCACTCTTAGTTCTGCCCAGAATTTGAGTCTTCTGCATCTGAAATTGGCAGTTTCTGTTTATGTATGTCGATGGTCATTACAGAGGATGAAAATTACCATGGACATTGGGGGAAATGTTGGATGAATTTCACTAGTTAATATCCATATCTCTATTTTCTTCAGAGGTTTTGAACAAGAGTTTGTTCAGAAACAGCGGAAGAAGAAGAAGAAACAAAGCGTCAGCTCAGCTGGTCGAGAAACCACGGTTTGATCCACCACCCCTACTATGAAATCGCCATATTCCCTCCTCCAGCCTCGTCTCTTCCACTACTACCATACATCTTCACAGCATCCCTAATATCACCAAACCCACCACAGCCATCGAAAAACTTCCCAAGCTTCACCAACTCCACATCCCCAAGATCATCGACAAAGGGCCTCGCCGGAATCGCATTCTCCGAGCTGAAGCAAATAGGCGTTCGGGTTATCATCCACCATCACCGCATTGGTCAAATCTCTGCCAGTCCTCGACAGGTCCTTCACACACATCCCATCGACCCGATTGCACGAATCGTGGTAAAGTCGGTGAGAAATCAGCTTCTTCCTGTCCAATTTCTCCAAACCATGGAAGCGTACTCTTCCAATCCGGCCGTGAACTACAGAGGAAGTTAGGGAGGATTGAGAACAGAGGAGATGAGATGAGAGACAGCGAATGAAGAAGATGAAGTTTATAAAACTCAGGTTCGGCGCAACGGTCGTTTGGTATTTTAGGTTCGGCGGGAGATGCCGGCTGGGTTCCGGCGTTGACTTGCCGTTGGGGGACACTGGATTAACGAGTTGCAGGTTTTCTTGCTTCTCTCTGTTTTTATTAACTCTGTTTTGGATTTTGGTGGTTGCAAAAGAAGCCATTCTAGAGGCGATCGAAGGTTCGATCCTCATGCTTCTGTGGTTCTTAGTTATCCAGCAACCAACGATTTGATCCTACTCACATTCAACAACTACATTAACAAAGGGACTCTAACGATTGATCTTGGTCTCATAATCCGATAACGAATGGGATAACATAACCTGTACGTTCGATATACAAGTATACAACTCTGAAGAGACTATGAAAAGAACAATGAAGTTAGGATTTCATAAGCTAATGAGTGAGTTTATGTTCGGTTAATTGCTACAAACAAATACATACATGTCAAAGCGAAATGGGGAATCTCACCTTCGCTTGGGGAGATTGTTTGGACTAGAACTGTGTACTTCACGAGTAGAAACATCTCTCGACCTGGGTCTCGGAAGGATTACAGGTCTGCAACATATTACAGCAACGAGCAACTCCATCATAAAGGATACGAGAGTAATCCACACGAAAATCGTCCTCTTCCAACCCCATACGATCCTTCTGAAGAAAGGGAGTTGAGACTCCAGCATCAGGGAGGCATAGTAGAGTTCAGGTATGCCACCACCAGGATTGAATTCGGCTCTCTGTTCAATCATTACCCTGAGGCAGGAAGTCGGCACATGACCTCCTGTCAAACCACGTATCCTCAACCTCAGGGTCTGGGATTCTGATATGTAACCCGCAACAAGAGGCACGACCTTGAACATGGTTAGAAGAATTCGGATTGGCTCGCTTTTGAACTTCAGCATACACGGATGGCTTTTGCTCGCCAGGACACTGCCATCAGCTGAGAGAAACTCCACCCGTACCTTCATTATTTCATATAGGAAACATATCAACCAAGCACTCAATTTGAACATACATTACCAAGTTCTCAGTTAAGCCTATCCATTCAGTTTAACTACTTGGGCACCATTTGGTCTCTAGTTGATCAAATCAAATACAGCAGCTTATAACATCTACAATGTGGAAGATGGAATCAATTTGGCTTCACTGATCCTATTTGCCAATTCTGCCAAACTTGCTCTAATTCTCACTGATCCTAGCACTTGGTCCTGAAATTGCTACTGAACGAACCCCCTAATGGGCATTATTCTTAGCTTTCATTATCCAACATTGTGGTTTTACTATGATCACCATGGAAGCAAGAGTTTGTTTCTGTATCAACTAACATATGTAAAAGCAAACAACCACAAGAACTCTAGCTCTTGAAAAAAACTATACATTAGGAAAGGAAGTGTTACCTGAAACATTCCAAGATTTCTGTTATACTCCGATTCAGGCAGAGTCATCAAAACTGTGGCTTGCACTTTATGCTTGGGAGGTATGACTCTCTGCCTGAAACTCCTGATCTCCCCAACCCCATCTTTACAATCAACACCACAGCCAAGACCAGGACAAGAGACCATAGGAACAAAAGCCACCGGTTTGCTTTGCGTGTAATCGAAATTCAACTCCTGCCTCATTTGCAATGGCTCCTCCACCAGAAACTTCATGACCAAGCTGCTAACCATGATTGCCATGACAAGTAACCCACACAAGATGATACAGACATAAACACAAAGAAGCAACCCCCACCCAACTCCCAGCAAGACCTTCCATTTCGACTTGTGCTCCTTCAACCGGTGATTCACCCACGAGCTCAAAGACCCAACAGTTGAGCTCCACAGGTGAAACCCCAGCTGCCACAAGAACGCCTTGCCACGCCTTGTAACGCCAAATGGATCGGTGACAAACATATAGGAGCAATAGAGAGACCATAAAGGGAAAGAAACGAAATTGAGGATCAAATTGAGTTGGAATCCAAGTGCTTTAATCACCAATACCGCTATCAATTCGAGCACATTGAAAGACCCAACATTTTGAGATGGAGACGATTCCAATTCATCTGGACCCGTCGAAGACTCAACTATCTCCGAATCGCTCCCGATTTCAATCAAATCGGGGTAAAAGGCCTTCGCTTTCTCTTCCAATGATGCCGCGTTCGCGTTGTCACGCTGGGTAACGGAGGAGGCGATTGTAGAGGCTTCCTCCTCATCGGAGCGGTTGGATTCGTCATCGGCGGCGATTCCGCGACAAGGGACCGGCCGACGGCGAAGGGTAGTACCGGGAGAGGAGACCTCGAGGGAAAGTTCGGAGATTGTGGAGTTGGAGGTGGATTGATCGGATAGGTCGGTACAAGTGAAGCAATCGTCGAAGGGCAAATCGTCGAAGGCCTCGAAGAAGCAACCGTCGTCCGGCGGCGAGCGGTGGTTTGTGTTCTCCGTTGATTGCATTTACGTGGCTTTACGCAATTTGGGGATGGACAAATTTGGGCCAATTGAGACCGGACAACGTTTGGTTTTGGGTTCGGAGTCCGGCGTCGTCAAGTTAAGTCCACGTGGTCAGCGTGTGACCTGGCTATATATACGTACTAGAATAAGTCCGCTCTTCGTCGCTCCGTGTGTGAGTGAGAACATAATATTTTAAAGATTAATAATTTGAATTTGATCGAAAAGAAAAAGATCTGTCATCTACAACTTCATGTAGTCGACGCAGCGATGAACTTTAATAAGCGAGCAGGATCGTCAAGCAAATGATTTCTATGTTAAATCTTCTCTTATAACACTATTGATTAGTTTGTATTCTTTTTGCATTTTTTTTCAAGTTCATTCTCAACCAAAACGAAAAAGAGACACTAAAGTGGATAAAACTCACTCATGACCCAAAACTCGACAACATCATGTTCATCTCTCTTTGATCGGGTTGAACCGAGTTTGTAACAAATTCACAATCGACCCGACCATACAATTAAAAAAGCGTATAAAACTCACACCCACCAGAGAAAAAGTGGATAAAACTTGCTCACGATCCAAAACTTGGCAACATCATGTTCAACTCTCTTTGATCTGGTTGAACCGAGTATGTAACAAATTCACAACCGACTCGAGCCGCCAATTACAAAAGCGAATAAAACACACTCTTTCCTCAAAGCTTGTAAACATCTAGTTCAAGTCATTTTGATCAAGTTAAATTACGTTGGATACTCATAGGTTTGAGTTCTCAACCAAAAGGAAAAAGATAAATAAAAAACACTAAAGCGAATAAAACTCGTTCCCCACCAAAAACTCTACACACCAAGTTCAACTCGCCTTCATTGGTTCGAACCGAGTTTTTAACAATTCACAGTCGGCTCAAAATGCCATTTCTAAAAGTAGATAAAATTCACTCTCGATACAAAACTTGCCAGCTCTGAATTCTGAGTCTTGCTTCAACTGTCATTCTCAACGAAAAGGAAACGAAAAAAATAAAATAACATTAAATAGACAAATCTCCCTCTCGATCTAAAACTCGTCAACACTGTGTTCAGCTCGCTTTGACTGGGTCGAATCGAGTTTTAACAAATTCACACTCGACCCAACATGCCAACTACAAAAGCTGATAAAACTCACTCTCGATACAAAACTCGTCAATACCATGAGTTTGGGTTCAATTCTCATTCTCAAGGAAAAGTAAAATAGAAATTTTAAATTACTAAAGTCGGGTTCTAGTCGCTTTGTCCTGGTTGAATTAGGTTGGATACCCATGAGTTTGAGTTTAATTGTGATGCTTAACCAAAAGAAAAAGAGAAATAAGAAAAGTTCAAGTCGCTTTGACCTAGTCGAATTAGCTTGGATACCCATGAGTTTGAGTTTAATTGTCATGCTTAACCAAAAGAAAAAAGAGAAATAAGAAAACACTAAAGAATATAAAACTCGATCCTGATATGAAAATCGACAACACAGAGCATGTTGGCATGGATTTTCGGTAGCGGTATTGGGACACGGTGGATGGGTACAACCTAGGATTCCACCGAAAATATTTCGAGATATGGTATGAATCTTCGGTAGCGGTTGTGGAAAACGACGAAAGAGGACAATTTATGATTTCGTCGATAATGTTTCGAGATGAGTTGCGAATTGGCGGGCCAAGGCGATGATTTGGGCGAAAGATTATAGACGAAAACCTAATAGATAATTGTTGAAAATGGGAACACAATGAACAATAGATGAAACCTAATGGGCAATAGATGTATATCCAATGGGAGAGTGATGTAAAAGATGAAACTTGAAGCTTGACCACTTGCAAAGGGAGTGCGAGAGTCACTAATGAATAGTAACACCAAACCTTGTTTGATGTAAATGGCCCCCTCACGCTCGTCGAAAACTTTGTCTAGAATACCCTTTACATCACCAATAAACATCACTCTCGTTAACCCTTGTAGTGTATCACATACCAGCGAACATAGACTCTCGTGCAACACCAACATATACATTAGGAAAGGCTCCACAACTCCATTAAACAAGCGGCCTTCCGTCGTCATGGTCATTCAATAACAATCAAGTAAAACTCATCCCCCAGCCTTGTGAGAACAGGTTGAAAAGAAAAGGATTGACCATGTAAGAAAAGAAAATTGTGTAAACTCAAATGCCACCTTATTTCGAAACTTCCAAATGCGCCAAAACAAAAACAACCATACGCATGATTCGCTCCCTCTCCGCGGTCTCCACCCCAGGCTATTCCACATCCTTACAAATGTTTGATACAAGTATTTTTAAGAACCTTATGTAATGATTCAATGAATTTTTATATGCACATATAATTTTAGAGTACGAATATATTATATAATTGGTGCCTAACTTTTACACATACTATTAGACATATAAAACTCTTTACATATTAACATCGGGACATTCCTATCCATTAGTTTATTAACCATACTCGCTAAACTTGTAAGTGCGCCCGTCAATTTTCACAGAATCGCATGCTCAAAACTGTACATGACCAAATACCTACCTATAAATCCTACTCTAGCTATATAGAAAAAACGACTGAATACAATTTATTAATCAATCTTTTTATCCTGATAAGTCAAAATTTTCTTTAACAAAGACCTCATTCACTAGAAGTTGTTGAATTCTGACAAAGAAGTTTGTGTCTTCGGTCATTTTGTAAGATATAATGTTCTGCCCACCACCATATTCCCTTTCTGACAATTGGTGCTCTCTCTGCATCTGCAACGGAAGCAATCAACCGATCAAAATCCTACCGTCTAAAATCAAAATGGACGGCGACGGCGCTGACGAGAAGAAGAAGCACGCCTACTCCCTGTGGGGCGTCCCGCCGAAAGACGTCAGGATCCGGCTCAAGAAGCTCACAGACGGCCTCCGATCCGAATTCGGCGGCCCGGAATTCCAGCCCCACGTCACCGTCGTCGGAGCCGTACACTTGACGGAGCAGGACGCAATCAGCAGGTTCAACTCTGCTTGCGAGGGGCTCAAGCCGTACACCGCCGCCGTCGATCGCGTGACCCTGCGTGTGCTGCTCCTCCATCCCACCGCCGAGGTCGGTCGGATCTCTGTTCCTGTCCATTTTTTTTTCCGACGATTCCGTTTGAATTGGGTTGTGAATTTGTAATCAATTTGCCTTGTCAGGTCGTGGAAGCTGGCTCACACTGCGGTGGACATTTTGGGTACAAGAGATCCACTCGTAAGTGATCTCCCTCCTTCTTCCGCTTTTCCTTCGACGCCATAGAAACTCCGTAACTCGAATTTTTTTTTCCCCGCCACAAAGTAGGAGAGGAAATCACAGAAAAGTATGGTGGAATTGCGAATGAAATTGCAAGAAATGATAGTTTGAGTTTGAATCTCTATTATCCTTAACTCGAATTATTGAGATTGACTAGTTTCTGACATGATATCGTATAGCTGATTTGGTTAAGCGATTTGTACGCTCGAATCTTCACAACCCCCTCTATAACAGTAACTCGCGAGTTATTGAGACTTCCTTGGTTCTGACGTGATATCAGCGCTTGTTTGATTAAGTGGTTGTATGCCCGAAAATCGAATCTTTATGATTCTCTCAATATAACAGTAACTCGAGTTATTGGAGCTATAACTCTGGTGCGTGATGTTGCTGCTGCAGCTTATATGCCGCATCTCAGCCTTTTGTACGGAGATCTGAGCGACAAAGAGAAGGAGAAGGTTCAAGAGAAAGCCATGGAACTAGATGACAGCATCAGCAACCTGAGCTTCGAGATCAGCAGCCTGGAGCTGTGGAAGACGGACACTGAGGACAAGTCTCTGGAATCTTGGGAGAAGATCTCAGAGTTCAACCTGTCTCACAACTAGACTCTATATATATATAGCAAACTCTTTGTGAATTACGATCATCTTGATTGCTTCTAACCAAAGTTTGATAATAAATTGGCCACACATATACGTCTTTCTTTTCATGGATGATTTTCAAGGTTTGAGCCTAGAGTGAGTTCCAGTATTTCAGCGGTGATTTACCCTGTATTGCTATGTTACTGTGTGTTTGTAATAAGCGAAAGAAGAAATCGGTTGATCCCTAACTTGGAAGTGTACATATGTTCATAAAACTTTGGAATTTGTTTGGTTTTGGTGACAGTTTGGTTGTAATAGTTACAATACGGGAACGGATCAGGTCAGTAATCTTATGGTGAGTAACCAGCCCACATCAACATCCTCTTTCTCCTGGAAAGCCTTTAATTTTCACCTCTTTAATCTTTGACGGACGATTTCTCACTCATTTTAAGTCGAAATTTAATTTTTTTTGCACAGTTAGATTAGATTAATTGTGTTCTTTTTAAATGATATCCACTTTAATATATTTTTCGAACAAAAAAAATTGAGCCATTTTTTACCAGTCTATACCATATGGTATTGACCGGTATTGAAATAAAAGCATACCTATGGTTTGAAAAATGTACCATGGTGGTATGAACAAACCAAGACTGTAGGATGGTTGAATGCATGATAGTAGAAGTACATTAATTGTCATTTACGACTTTTAACATTGTATACCATACAATACCACCCCGTACCAGGGTGGTATTGTATGGTATTGTGTGGTATTTTTTGGTCCTGTAATTTGTTCAATCAGAAATTTGTAGATCCAATAGATCATGATGAACTCGTCCTTTCTGTGCAAACATTTTCAAAAACGAATTAAAAACGAAGAAGATACCATACAATACCACCCCGTACCAGGGTGGTATTGTATTGTGTGGTATTTTTTGGTCCTGTAATTTGTTCACCCAGAAATTTGTAGATCCAATAGATCATGATGAACTCGTCCCTTCTGTGCAAACTTTTTCAAAAACGAATTAAAAACGAAGAAGATACCATATGGTATGCAGTTGGTACCGAGAGGCCAGAATTTTTTTTTCTAAAATATTGAAAATTATTCTCATTTGGTAGAGCACGATGAACTCGTTCCATCTGTGCAAAAAAATAATAATTAAAATCCGAGTTAAAACAAAAAAGATATGAGCCGATTAAGAAAGCTAGGAAACATAAAAATGGTCCTTAATTTTCCATCCCTAGATCTGGATTTTCTAAATGAAGGGTCCAGATTTGGTTATTGATGGATGCATAACTCATGGTTATGCACCCTATCTTGAGCCTTACAATACATGCAATGTTCACAATGCATCCAAAAAAAAAAAAAATACATGCATTGTTTGTTTTGACACAAACTATCACTCAAAATGAGTGATAGTTAAATCTCAAGTTTTGGTTGAGATTGTTTGATTGAGATTGCTGTGTTTTTTTCTTCTTCCAACTATGTCCCTACCATTTTATATGTGTTTCTTTTTTATACTAAAAACAAAGGGTACAAATGACATTTCACCTATAAAGTAATATAATTTATTTAAACACTACAATAACTATCACAGAAATCAAACAATGTAAACTACAATACACCAATTTTCTAATATACATGTATATTGTTATGCATGCATTGATAACAATACATCGATTTAACTATCACCAAAACCAAACGACCCCATGTGTTGTGTAAAAAATGGTAACATAAATTTCATTTTGTATGATTCGGTAACACAAATTTCGACGTGTAACAAATTAGTCATTTTTGTTCATTTCCATTCAAAGTTCCGTTAACCTCGTCAAGATAGCAGTCCATGTATCCAAAAAAAATTACACTTCACCATACAAACTAACCAGAGTCCACCCGAGTCAAATTTATATTGCATTCTTATTTTTTGACAATTTTGTTACATGATGAAGTGACCAATAACCTTTTCATTTTGTAACAAAATAGTTAAACTTCTTTTCATAATGTAACAAAATGCTCATAAAATTAGTAAAAATAAGTATGCAATATCAGCTTGGCTTGGGAAGGTGGGCTAGTTCGGTTGGTTAGTTTGGATGGTGAAGTGAATTTTTTAATTAATTTTTGTATGTGGATTGTTGACTAGACGAGTTTGACGAAAATTTGAATGGAGATAGGAAAATATGACAATCTCATTCCACGTCCAAATATGTGTTACTAAATCCCGCGAAATAAAACTTTTACGATCGTTTTGTACAAACTCCAAAAATTTTATAGCAATTTATGCTAATTACCCATTAAAGCACACTACTATTGAGAGTCTTACTATAATTGAGTTGCTTACCCACAAAAAGTGAACCGTTAGAATGTTACTCTGTTAGACTAGTGTATTTTACTATGATATTTTTTACAATTAAATTAAGTAATCTATTGCTAGTTGTACCTCCTACCAAGTTATAAACTTATAATGCATAAACATTAAACAAAACAAAAAATAACGCGACCATACTTTAAATTAAGTAATCTTGTTTACTATAATTGATTGTTAATATTGATATGGAATTTCGGATAACAAGTACGATGAAATGTTTCATGATCTCGAGAGTTATCATCTCCACCTCAACCATTGGTACCTTCATTTTCACTAAAACAGAGAAGCTTCAAATTGGACAAGGCAAAAATCATAAGGAGATGACGAATCTACCCTCACCAACGGCTGATCTCAACCTTCTCCCGGGATCTCTCATTTCACCGGCAGGCTCACCTGTTTTCCCAACAAACACTCAGTCACTCATCCTTACTCCGGTCTCCGGCCACCTGATTTCTGTCTCAATCCGTCAATTTATATCATTCTAGAGACAATAAAAAAAAAAGGAGCAATTATTACTACAGACAGAAAAGGCAAACATCCTAGTAATTCACGCAACCCAAGCGCCGCCCTGGAACCAGGAAACTCCGCCGTGTTGACCGACCACCTGAGAGCGACGTCGTTTCAGCGGTCCGCCCGCGCGCTCTGCCAGTCACCACCCAACAAAAATTAACTTCCAGCTTGCTTTCATTCATCTTTGTCAAAAAAAAAAAAAAAAAAAGCTTGCTTTCATTCACGCTCCAGCTCACTTCTGCACAAGACGCGTGTGCCACACTTCCTCTCCGCATTCCTGGCGTTTTCCAACGTCCCCCGCCCCTGCTGCCACTGAGATAGATAGACGTTGTTGAGAATCAAATTCGCCCTGTCCCATAGATCTCTCCTCTCAAACCTAAATCTCTTCGCCCCCACAATCCCCAATTATACATCTTTTGGGGTTTTGGGTTGATCGACCCCGACTTTAATTTGACCAATTACGGGGGTTTTTTTTTGAAGCGAATTAGCTTAGCTCCATCTGCCGCCGTCATCATCCGTCGTTGGTGGAACTTGGGAATCAAGAAAAGAACCCAACGCTCACTCTGTTTCCTTGGTGGCGAAAGTTGGGGAAATGATCTGGTGAAATCTGGTGCGGAGAAATCGAGTGTGGAAGCTTTTCCCCCCAAAAAGGGAGAATATTTAGGGCCTAGCTGGGGGTCATTCACATTGTAGTAGAAGGGTTTTCTGTATCTTTGTTGAACTTTCAAGTTCTTTGGAGGGTTTTTGGGATGGAAGGTAAGAATCCGGTGAGGTTTACTCTCTTAAAGCAGTCGTCTTTAGCGCCGGATGGGGAAAGGGATGGCTCCGGTACGTTCGAGGAAGCTCTGGAGGGCATTGATCCAGGTGTTCGATTAATGTACGCAGCGAATGAAGGCAATCTTGATGGTATCCAGGAGGTATTGGATTCCGGTGTTGATGTCAATTTCCGGGACATTGATGACCGGACGGCGCTTCACATTGCATCCTGCCAAGGTTTGACTGACGTCGCTTCGTTCTTGCTGGACAAAGGGGCCACAGTTGACCCCAAAGATAGATGGGGGAGCACGGTAATTTCTACAATGAGTTTAGTTTTTGCCTTTTTGGGATGAAATTGAACCTTCGTTGCTCCTGGCCAAAAAAATGGTGCATCTTTATTAGAAGTGGCAATGCAATCTTATGTTTGATTTAACAGCCCCTTGCAGATGCCATATATTACAAAAACAATGACGTGATTAAGCTCTTGGAGAAACGGGGTGCCAAGCCTCTGGTATGCTTGGCTTTCTGTGTGTTTGTCAAATGGGAATCAGTGTTGTGTGAATTGGTCGATTTGATGCGTGTCTTGCTAATGCTATATGGGATTCTTTCATTTAGATGGCCCCAATGCATGTCAACCATGCTCGTGAAGTCCCGGAGTATGAGATCAATTCCACTGAGCTTGATCTCACTAACAGTGTGCAGATAACTAAGGTAGTTGTTTATTGTAACTTTTCTGGAACTGGAAAGAATTCTCTTCCATTTTGTCTTGTGCAATTCCTTTGTGGACGTTTTTGGAGTTCACATTTCCGGTCTATCTATGTTGCTGTTTGAACATTTAGCTTAGCTGGAGTTTTCAGATATTACAATTTACAACCTTCCCATTTTGGTTCCTACGTTGAAGAGTTGCATCCTGTCTCTATATCAGTGCTCAAAACTTCAAGTTGTAGCTGGATAAGGATATATAATAAATTGGTGATACCCGAAGGAAAAAAGGATTGAACATTGATTGAGGGGAACAAAGGAAAGAGAATGGGCGGCCATTTGAGAGTAGAATATAGTAATTTGTTTTTGTATGTTGCATTGAAGCATCAACCTGTGTGGGTCTAAATGAGCCATCTATACAGAGCAGTGCTATACTGCTATTGTATATGATCTCCTTAAAGTTATGACGTACTAGCAGTGAACAAACTTAGAGAGGAACTGTAAACTTCGCAATAGAGAGATTTGATTGATAATTTTTTGGGCATTGTGCAGGGAACTTATTGCATAGCATCATGGCGTGGGATAGAAGTTGCTGTTAAAATGCTCGGGGAGGAAGTCCTTTCAGATGAGGATAAAGTGTGGGTTATCATGACCTACAGCCTTTACTTGTCCTACTTTGTGTAGTCCTGCGGCTTTTCATCCTTCTTAAAAAGCTATTTGTTTTTACAGAAGAGCATTCAGAGATGAGCTAGATTTGCTTCAGAAGATAAGACACCCGAATGTGGTTCAATTTCTGGGTGCTGTTACTCAAAGTAGCCCCATGATGATTGTGACAGAATACTTACCAAAGGTTTTTCTTCCATTTCTTGAGTCATTGTTGCAGTGGAGCGCTACCCTCTGTATATTACCCCAGGATAATAGTACTCGTGCAGATATGGATGTTTAGTTGTTTTCATA